CTGAATGTTTGGGGAATCCAGAAAGTATAGATACATTCCTGTGCTCATATCCATATTGTTGTAATACGCGTTCCTTTTATGAAATGGTGGGGTGGGGAGGCGCCAAATGATTACATACTTTTGAGGAAGGCGTAGTAACATCGAGTTTGGAAACCACTGGTATGGATTATCAAAATTCATCCATTGACATTTTCTTTTACTAAGTTTTCATAAATTTGCTGATATTCGCTGCAACAATTTGTTAAATTTTGTCTAAATTAGAATGTTTTGATCAATGTCAATTCAAGAGTTTTATAAAATTGACAACGTTATTTATTTATATTTTAATAAATTCCACCTAAATAATTTAATTTTTCTTTAGAGTCATATTTAATTCTCAATTTGCCAATCCCTGGTATAGAAGAATTCTTTTATTTGTATCCAAATATTGCGATGATTTGAAATCGAAACCGTTTGAATTTCAATGTTTCTATTCACTTAAGAATTGTCTTTAAAAAAAAGTACTATGTATAGTCTCCATTTCGTTATTTTTTCCGTTTTCTTTTTTAATCTCTTTTTACAAAGAATACTTGTCAGAGAACTTCCCGCCAAACGGCATTGGTTCGTTACGCTCTGCCTTCCGTGTACATGCTTTCCTTTTGTGATAGTTTATTGTAATATATGTGATATTTTAAATCGAATTTCTACTGCGTTTACAAAGAAGAGAGCGATGGGTGTAAGTAGACACCACGGTAAATAATTGCCGTCGTAAGCGTTATGAACCGTCCTCTGCTTCAACAAATTCGGCAACTAACCTACAAAAATTATGTTACCTTTTTATTTATTTTTTTTGTAGAGGAAAAGTACTAAGGGTAAAGAAAAGCGTTTGGCGAGGAAAGAGGAACAGTTGCGATTGTCAGCCTCGAAGACTGTCGTCGACAAGGCCAATTCGTTGAAAGATCCTCTGGAGCCCTTTGTTGCTTTCCAGAAGTACAACAACAATGGACTGCAATGTGATCTGTACATCAAAAAGGTATCTGAGTTGGATACATCCACCACCGACTGGGCCTTTGGACTGACAAAGAAAAACATGCAGCACAAGTAATCCTACTGTTACATCAACAAATTCTACTTATTATTAACTGTTGCATTTTAGATATGAGAATTGCTCATGGGGTTGGAGTGATGGTAAAAAGAGAGAGGAATTATTGGATGATACTGCTTGGTACCTTGTGGCGTTGTCCCATGATGGGCATCCCATTGGTTTCTCGCATTTTCGATTCGATATTGACGAGGGTATCGAAGTTCTCTATTGGTGATTACTTCGCATTATTTCAGCTAAATGATCGATACTCAATGATAATCTTTCAGTTACGAATTGCAATTGGAGAATGTGATTCACCGAAGGGGTCTCGGAAAGTTCATGATGCAAATTCTGGAATTAATCGCGTTCACCAACAACATGCGCAAAGTCGTTTTAACAGTATTAAAGAACAATTCACACTCGAACTTCTTTAAAGCTATAAAGTAACTATTTACGCAATTGCAAATGGTTAGAAAAATGGACTAATAATGATGATGATGTTGCAGTTATCGTTTGGACGAATCGTCACCTATGGATGACGAGGACGATGTTTTTCCTTACGAGATCTTGAGCAAAATTAACAAAAAACTGGCGTTGACTAATCCTTTGCCGGTGCACGATAAACCGCACCACGGACATAGTCATCATCAACATCAATGCTGTCCCGGACATCACTAAGACTGAACGCGGATATGACTATAAGTTACATTTAAGGAAGGAACCGTGCAAATTAGTCACGAGTTTCTTTCCTTCTTTTTTTAATTGTATTTTGTGATTATAATTTTTTTATAAATATAAAGATTACTTGATTTTTTATCAGAAATAATTCTATTCGTTT